TTTATTTAGAGGGTGAGTAAGCTTAAGACTACAGTTAAATCAACTTTATTCTGTCCATTTGACCGCGCCGTCTCCCTCGGTTATTCAGAGAACGTGTAAATTCCAGTTTCGGGCATTTTTATGTTCCCTTTTCTGTTCTACAGTGTTTGCCCCCCGGATGGAGCTCGATATTTTGAGTGAGAACATCTATGCAGACAAACATATCTGCTCTCCATGAGGCATGAGTCCAAGTCGTGGTGCCAAACCACACAATGCACATCCACCGCACACAGCCACTTTAAATCCTCTGGTGGAGATATCACTCTCTAAGGCCATGATGAGAGGCTCATATAAGCAGCTCATCAGCAGCCTGTTTGCCCATATGTGCCTCACACCCCTTAGTCCCCAGTGAGTCCTGGCTCTGTGCAATGAAACCATCTCATCTGCCAACATGGACAACTTGAAGGAAAAAAAACTATCCCTCTTCTACTTGGGCAATTTTGCCCTTAAATGGCTAGTGTTATAATCTGCATAGATAATGAAGTCAGTCCACCAAGTCAAGGGCCCACTCCAGAGCTGGCCAGCAGAAACAGAAGAAATATAAAACGTGCACATAGGGGTGGGCGGTATAAACGGTATACGGTAGAAACGATATAAATTTGGCCAACGGTAGAGATTTTGACTATACCGCTCTGCCATGTGATTGTATTTGCCCCTAACCACCAGAAACTCTCACGTTAACTTTCATCGAGTGGAAAAAAGTTAGCGCTCATCCTCCAGCTTCACTGTGCTAATGTTATGCTAACATAGCTGTGTAGCTAGCGATCACATAGCATCATTATATACCAGCTAGCCCAACTTCAGTAACCCTACAAACGTCACTGCTGTTTAGTTTTCTGTCTTCATTTATGTTGGAAGTGATAGCAAAGCTGTATGTTTGAATTTTTCAGAAATCTCTCAGTCAGAACATGCTATATATATTTAGGTGGAAACTAGCGAGCTAACTTCCTTCTAACTCTGTTAAATGTAATAAATTCTGTTTTCATGGATGCCTGGATGTTAAACTTAATTGTTACACCTGGTAAAGCAGCAACGCTGATCATTTTATTAAAGATGAAAGAATTTAGACAGTTTTTAACTCTCAGCAATGATGCCAAAGTGTTCGTTTGACTTTGGGACCTGAAGTTGATGGAGTTTTGGACCCAGATTACTCCGCGAGGCTCCTGACTACGGTAGCCGTAATGCTCCGACAATCCATCAAGCAGTGCGGCTTCGTAGATTACCAAAGTCATACTAAAACATTTTTGACAGATTTCTGCGTGCTGTGTAGCACATAAAATCGGTTCGAGGTCAGTACGCACAACCAGAATTCATACATAAGGCACGCTGTCGATTTTTGAGAAAATTAAAGGATTTTAAGTGTGCCATATAGTGTGTAAAATACATTATACAGAAGAAAAGAATATATCGCGGTATATATCGTTACCGCACATGCTTCAAATTATACTGTGATATGGATTTTAGGCCATATCGCCCAGCCCTAGGTGCACATTCAATAAAAATGAGTTAATGAGACAGATGTAGACTCAGGATGACAAACTGAGGCCAGTATAGAAAAGAAGGATGCACAAATTAATTTCACGTCATCAGATAATCAAATCTGATGAAACACGTCTGACTCAGGGGAGGAAAAGAAGCAGAAGAAGCAGTGATGACATATGCTATGGGAAGCAGACAGACAGGAGAGCAGGGTCCAGTGTCATATCTGCAGAGTGTGTCTGCAGGTCCCGTGCGGCGATGGTTCGCTTATCCCCCTGCCACCACACATATGTTTGGGACATGGAACAGTTGGATGTGGCCGAGGGCAAAAATGGGTCAGACTGACACAGATGGAGAAAAAAACTCCCACTGGGTCACTGTCAGATGACTAACACCCACAGAAAAAAAAAGTGAGAATGTGTGTGTGTGTTTATATGTGTTCAAGTGAGTGATTTATTCAACTTTTGACAGATTTTAACAGCTTGCCAACAACGTTGCTCTCGAAACAAGGATGAAAAAATACTAACACAACAAGTTTTGAATTCAAATTGGGTCAGGCAGTTCTCGAGTAGCCGAGAGAAGAACATGAACTCTGCAGAAAGCGAGGGGATAGCAAGAATTCCTCGTGTTTCATTTGGCCTTTTGCCGTCTTAATGTCTCTTCCCTTCTCTGCCTGCCTTCACTTTACCTAATGTATAAACATAAACAAAAAATATGTGATCGATAACTTGACTGGGTGCCCATAATGTCATTAAAACTCAACAAGGCTCGTTGTAAACACAATGTAATTTTTTTTTCTCCTTCTTCTTTTTGGATCACTACTAACAGCCTTGGATGGAAGAAGAGCTGACATTTGGGATAAACTGAAACATTTGGGGTTTTGCCACGACGTGTTCAGCGCAAGAAAAATCAATTGAGACTTCAGGAAATCCCCCAAACCTTTCTGGAATGATGGAGAAGAGCTGGCATTAAATGCAGCTCAGCTATGAAACAGCAGACGATATGATTTGTGACAAGAGTTTAAAAAAAATACAGAGCTTTAAACAAATTAACATCAGGGAATACTGTCTATCGGCTTTATGATCACATCACCCAAAGATTTTATCGAAAATTCTTCTTCCATTTGGAGGTAATCTTCCTAACCTTTGCCATCAATCCATGATGTCACAGCTGAAATGAATTCAAAAAACCTCAGATAAATGCCCTCAGTTGACAAAACCTCCATTAGAACTGGAATGTAAGGCGGTAATTGTAGAGTTGAAAGGTCCATTTGTTCATTATCAAAACGGTAGTGAGATTCCTTTCAGAGTAATCCTTGGCTTTTCGCTTTGCCTATTCAACGCTATTTCCCAACACAATAAGACATGCTGATGCCGCTGTATGAAGATCACTAAGCTCAAATTCCTATGTCCTTCAGAAAGCTGTGTCGCTGCCTCTTAAATGTGTCTTTTTCTCAATTTGCTTTTTCTTATTTTGAAGCTTTCAAATCTGTTTTTGTCAAGCAAAAGCTTCCAGTTGCATCTGCTGTTTCTATCACAAGCCTTTAACTTTCCCTTAAAGTGAACCGCACCATCGCGAAAGGAAACCCAAGTCCCTTTGCGCAGGACACAAGCAACGTCGTCAACCGTGCATTAGCATGTGGATGGAATGTGCTCCGTGAGGCAGTCATATGTTTACATCCAATCTCTTGGATGAAAGTCAAGTTTGCAGCTGCAGCCTCGGAATAATTCATCGCTCGCCTTTTTTACCCAGGAGGAGCCACAGGTAGTTGATGAAGTGGCAGTGCCAAGACTCCCAACTGGCGAAGACGAAGCGCAGCTGCCAGGAGTCAGCGTGGCCAGATGCCGCTGCTGATGTACCATGTGTTCCAAGCAGGGCAACAGTGTGTTTGTGTGTGAGCTGGGGTGGGAGGGGAGAGAACGGCACGCTTGCCAAGACATTCTCACATTGATGCCAACCTGACACATGCCTGGGTACTCCCCACGGTTTGTGTTACCATCTCAGCCACTCTCACAGATCTGTGGGGGGTCCCCTCTTTTCTCTTTTCCTCTGATGCCGTCCCTTGCCAAGATGAGAGTTGGCGCCTGCTTGCGGCCATCCTGCCCATCAGTGGCGAGATCCTTTAAGGTGTTCTTTTTTGAATGGCGCGCTGGCAGGAGGCCACCACAGCAGAATGCCAGCCTCTGCTTACTATATACTGCATCTAACCCTCGTTTTTTGCAATATAGCCAAAACCGTAACTCCTTACGATAGCCGTGTCACGTCCTTACATGACAAGCGTGTCTTTATTATCCTCCCCTGTTCATCCATCCCTGCATGTCACAAGTAGCTGTAAATAAATCTCTGGCTCAGATTTCCGTCCCCACATAATGCACGTCGAAGACATGGCCAACTTCCAGGAAACAAATCCAAAAACACGGGTCTTCTGCGCCTTATTTCGTTACATCAGAGATGACATTCGGTCATTTTTGAGTTGAATCCTTCGAAAATCTGGCAGCGCCATCTGCGTCAGAAAAACACTGAAGACTCCAAATTCCCTACAAATAAAGAATTCTCTGGAAATTACATAGTTGCTGGGGTAGCATAGCATTCCCTTCAATAGCATTTTCCCCGCGAATGGGAACGAGTGGTCTTTGCCACTATTCCTGAGAGTGGAGGGGAGCACTGAGAAACAAAGGCTCCAGTTTTTAGGAACATGCCATCCTCGTTTGCAGTGTAGGGGGTTTGGGGAGGGAAGTGAAAACTTTTTGAACGTGTGCCATGTCTGTACCATTCTCTTATCTGAGGCCCGCGACTGCCAGCTGGCGGCTGAATGTGCCCACTTGCACTGTGATGATGAAGCCAGCCAAGCTAGTTGGCACACTGCGTGGTGGGACTGGCACGTGATCTAAAACACAGCACTGTGTGGAGCGGCTGCGTATACGTCCCGCTCTCCCCTCCTGTGTCCTCCTCTCTGGCGAGCAGCTTCTCCACTGGATCTGCAGGTCCTCAGTAAAGTGGGTGGAGGTTATGCCAACAACTGCCAAGCTGAGTTAATAACCACGGGATGACAGAAAAGCACAGCTCATGCTAGTTTGTTTATAATTAAGGATTTAGTTATCTGAAACTAGCTGTTTGTTGGCCCAATATTTAACTCATTTCTTATTATTGTTTTGCCCCTTTAATCACCAAAATGGGAAAATTAATTGAGTTTTAAAGCAGCAGTACAGTGATAGGCAGAGACAAGATCATAGGTTTTGCGTTGCTATATCCAGACATGCTTTGAATGTGTGATTGTCATTTTATTTTATGTAAGTTTTTATTTTGTAGACTAATAAAGTAAGATCATTTAATCATTTAAATGATCTTAAATCATTTAAAACATTGTTCAAGGGTTATTAAAGCTGCGTATTTAAAGTGTCAACCACCCTGCAGAAACTGGCTTTGTGCTGTATACTTACGAGACGGGAACTGTTTAAACCACTATTGTTTCAAACCGGACGCTTAATGCCGTGGCACTGTCCTTCACTTCAAGAAATGCCGACTGTTATTGTAGGTAAGGTGAAAGTGAAATAGTTCATAGAGAAAGGTGTAGACAGTGAAACTGGGTGTTATTTTACGAGATATCGTTGTGTTTGTAGCCGTCAAACGCGGAGGTGTACCGTTCATGTCATGGCTGATGTCCGGTCACCTGTCCTCGGTGAATAAAGTGAAAGTCAGAGACGTTCAGAGTCACCTGGACTGAACACAGTGGCGTTAAGATGAAGAGGTTATTTCGGTCGGTGGTCATCCTCATCATCGTCCGTCCTCCTGTAACTTCACGGTGTTGCTGTTTAAAGCTGTTTAAGTCGACAAGTGACTGAAAGATGTTAATGCTATTAAAGAGTCACGCTGTTGTTAATCATTTATTAAAATAATGTTTAAAATAATAGCGCAATATATGTTAAGTAACTACTATAACAGTGAAAGCTTAATTGACCGATTTTTTTAGAATTTTAGAAAAATCCCCACCCTGGAGAAGTCATTTCTCAAGCTTTTTCTTTCTACTCGTTGGAGCCATTTCAAATAGATACATCTAGAGAATTGCTTGAGTAATTTTAAGTATTCTGTTAAATATCCGCTACTGTGACGGGAAATCTGTGAAATCTAGCAAATCTGTAGCAAAGTTCAATATAAAACACCCAGGCCTTGAAATTGGGAACACTGATTTCCACATATGAGGTGCACTCTGTACCATGAAACTATTCAAATCATAATTTCTTGAAGATCAAATCAAAATCAGTTCTTTATGCTAATATGTCATTATTGTTGATGAATTTTCAAGCATAGTTTTACAAAAAAAAAAAATAGAAAAAAATATTGTTATTTTTAATTCCAGTTGTAGTTGTTATTTATTTGCGTTCCTGAAAAGAAAAAAATAGTTTTAGTGTGTGAATGTTCCATAATTTCTCTGACTTGGCTCATAGGAAAACATGAATTAGGTTTCGTATTGCCTGATTAATAATAATATATTTTTCGTCATGTTTTCTTGTTTTTATGACAAAAAAACAAGTTATTGTGGTATTCCATAAAACCACCTAAAAAAAAATCTAGAAAGGCTTTTGTCTTGTAGTCTAAAACTTGTGGTGGTGTTCAGCCCCCCTTCCCATAAATAATTTTTTAGAAAGAGTCATATGTTTAGTTTAATATTAGTTTAATTGTTGTTTAATTTAATCATATGTTCAGGCAGCATTCATGATCCCAGAGTGTATAGTCTTGTAGTTTAAAGTATTCGGTCAGCTGACATGGAATGACCCATAAAGCATTAACTATATAGAGTACAAAGGTTATAATGTTCATTGTGTGTTTGTCTCAGACTGCTGTGTGAATGAGATAGATCCTTTATGAGTTATATTTTTTGCATTGCACATCCCAGTACAAGTCCCTGAGGATTAAAGGCCTCAGGACAAAAGTCATTCAGAGCTTTTTTATAAGAGTGGTTGTGTTACTAGTCTCAGGTATTTGAAATTGTCCAGCATCTGCGGTTTCACAGCGTGTTTTTCAGTACTCTACTTATTTTTAAATAATACATTCAAAAATGTATCTCACAAAATGGGTCAAAACTTCTCAGTTAAAGCATTTTTTTGTTTATTCACAACATTTTACACGTCAAACCAACACCATTTGAAACTGTCTGATAGTGTCTGAGGCTCATGTCACTGTCACAGTTCTTGCACGCTACAATATTAAATAGCATTGTCTATGCTTAGATACTAAGGTTGCAGACACACTATCTAACACAGCGTGCTTGTTTACTGTAAATACCAGGCTGATAAGAAATCTCAGTGCAGCCAGTGTAAAAATGCCACGTTAAAATGTCAGCCAACACAGTGAAAAAAGGCCCGTTTCTCTGACAACAACCGATCCAACTGCCTAATTAATGATCTGAAGAAAATGTCGATGTCTCACTAAAAATTTCATTATCATCATTCACGGGTTCAATTTCTTATACGCTGGTGACAGATGTGCTAAAGTCCTGTGTGTTTTTTGAGTGATGCCACATGGTCTCACTCCCTTTCTTCCTCTATCCCAGATGTGTTCTGCTACCAAACTTTGGCACTGAGTGAAACGGTGCTCAGTAGTACTGATGTAATTCAGCCAGTGACTCTCTGCATTTCTGAGTGATTCCTGTAATTATTTTGGAAATAATATATGAAAAATTGAAACACTGGTGGAACCAGATCATCTTCTTTGTTGCTTAATTAAACAGTTATTTATTTTATCAAGCTGACCACATCAGTGCGCTCGTTTTGTATTCGTAACCATCAACCAGCAGATCTACAAAAACCCAAAACTAGTGGTTAATCAGGTGGTTAATTGTCACAGAAAGAATCCCTGGTGATCAAAGTTAATCATACAGATTTGGCTTTATGACTTTGTGTGTTGCTTCATCAAACTAAGCGCAAATGTTTTTCACTTCAACCCACAGATATTCACTACGAGCAGATGTAAGATACTGATGATGGAGCCGTAATGAGCTTCTAACTGTGGAGAGTATAAACAACTAAAAGTCAAACATGCTGCCAGGATGTATAACCGCTGCTTGCCACTATTTGAAGTGGGCTTTGCCGCACTGGAAACCTGCCTTTTCCTTAACTTATTGTCCATTAGAGCCAGGGCAATGGATTTTAAGACAGGCAGGTCTGAGAAGGGCTCATAGCTGGACTACAGCACCTTCATCAAGGCTAAACCAGAGGCCGGTGTTTGCCAGAGCTCCAGTGTATGGAGAAAAGCTTGCAGTCATAGACAGCAATGGTAGCCACAGCTACAAGCAGCTGTACTGCCGTAGTTTAGGTCTTGCAAATAGAATCGGTACAGCTCTGAACTCAGACTTTGGAGGTCTGGAAGGAAAACGCATCTCCTTCCTGTGTGCTAATGACGCCTCCTATACAGTAGCACAGTGGGCCACTTGGATGAGTGGTGGGACGGCGGTGCCACTCTACCGAAAACACCCACCGGCAGAACTGGAGTACATCATTTCTGATTCCCAGACTTCGCTGCTGCTGGCAGCGGACTCCTACACTGAAACCCTCGAACCTCTGGCACAGAAGGTCGGGCTGCCGTGTCTGAAGCTGCCCCCTACTTCTGACCTGGATGCTTTATGTGAGGAAGATGCACAGGAGAAGGAGACAGCCATCACAGACTGGGCTGATCTACCAGCTATGATCATCTACACCAGTGGAACAACAGGGCGACCCAAAGGGGTTCTGCATACACACGGCAGCGTCCAAGCAATGGTAAATTATGTCTATTAATTACACTAGAGCCAAAGTAAATTAAGCTATTAGCTTTTTTTTTTAATATCATAGGGTTATGGGTCTCTTAAATTAGACCTTTAACAGTGCATTCATGGTTTGCTGTAAGCTATGTTAATGTACAACTAAAATCAGTTTATGTCAGTTATTTATTAAATGTTTAGATGGTTTTTAGTATTCAATAAAAAATAAGACCTATCTTATTGTAAGATTTCATAATTGTTGCTTGGAAAGATTATTTTTTTCTTTTGTAAATTCAGTTTTATTTATACAACTGAAAATTAGTCATTTTAAACAAAGAAAAGGTTAATTAAGCTTCATTTATTGGGGAAAAAATACATTTGACGGAAGGAAGGAATAATTTTGTTTGGCATTAAACTACAGAAGTGCATCTGTTTAAATCATTTGATGTTTTTGGCCATCAATGTGACTTCATAGAAAATAAAAGTTTCTTTGAGGTGGGGAGACGTGAAGGTAAATTTCTGTTTACGTTATTTTGTACAGGCAATCAGATTCAGTGTTCTACATGCATGTTGGTGATGCTCATGTACACAAATGTCAGAATTAATTTAATGATTCAAAGAGCCATAACACAAGCCAGCAGCCATGTACGACCGGGAGACGTCTTTTGTTTTTTGCCCTGATGGCATTTAGTTCTCTGACACTGTTCATGATGCTCATCTCTTTAAATACAATTATGCTCAATATGTTGGACACAGCGCACCTTAATGATCACATTCACTGCAGGCATTTTTTTAAAAATACCTGACGTTACCTCTCAAAAAAACAAAAAACCAGACAGACTCACTTAATCATTCACTCACTCAGTTTTCCAGACCGACCAGATTCAAGCGAAGTTCTGCCTCCTTTTAGAGTGATTTAATTTTCCACACTGCCAGGCATGTAGGTCAGTTTCACTTAAAATTGCACAGAAAAACTTCAGGAGATCTTTAATGGCATAAATTAGTGATTATTCAGGAAGCACAGTGGGGGAAAAACGAGGGTGATGCTAATCAGGGATTATGTCTCCTGGGGGTGTCTAAACAGTTCTTTAATTTAAGAAGAAAATCATAGATACAGTTTATAGATCTGTTAGTTTTGTGATGTTCTCACTGAGATTTGTGTCAATATAACCAATAATAGATAAGCTGAATATGAAGTTAGATGTTTTTCACCTTAAAGATATTTAAGTCCTGGTTTCACAAAGTTTAGACCTTGAAACATTTTAACAAAATTAATAAATAATAATACTTTTGGTGGCATAGTTTAAAAATTACGTGTGTGTATTGTTTACATGACTGTGGCCATTTCTATCTAATGCTAAGCCGGTCCTTAGTCTGATGGTTTCATTACTAGAGTGATTGTAGGAAATGTTTTTGCCTTTCAGTTAGGGCTGTGTGATATGACCAAAATCTCATATCCCGATATAAGAATTCTATCGTCCGATAACGATATAAATCACAAATATATAATATTTTCTGTAAGTTCTGTGAATCTCGGGCAGCTCGTCTTGCGGGAAGTGTTTCCAGCTGCGCGTCATGTAGCTGGAGTCGAGTGTTTTAACCGATGCATGAAACTATACATTTTTAGACATAAGTTGTAACGCCCGCCGTTTTCTTTGTGAGTATTTATTACACGGCGTGCTGCGGGGAAAAGCCTGTTCTAACGTTTGAGTCTAAGGTTTATTTTTTAGCACCTGGCGGCTCTTTTTACTTCTCCTCCGTAAATAATCTGCTGTTTCACGTGATTCAGTTTATTTTGAAAAGTCTCAACAGGATCTTGAGCTTTATTGTGAAAGGTTTATGTGGAACATAAGCGGACACGCGATGCTGTTACCGTCGTTGTTGCTACGACAACGCGTAAAAACAGGCGCTTGTCCGTCTGTTATGTGGTTATATTAAATATAAGAGAAAGAGAGAACTTTAAGAAATTAATATAGCCACTACAGTGACCATCAAAACGATGAAAAAAATATTGCCGTAAACAGTTTATTTTGTGACACCACGAAACAAACTATAGCGTAAAATGAAACGATAGACGTTTTTATATCGTCATCCGATATATATGTTATATCGAACAGCCCTAGTTTCAGTGTTGAAGCATCATATAAGAAAAAGTTTCGTTCAAATGAAATGTTTTGAGCAAATCAAACTAAAAAGAGAATTATGGAAAGTAATAATCATTTTTATAATTAGCTAAAGTTAATAGACTAAAAAACTAGATGCTTTTCCTTTTTTCAGAATTCAATATTAATAAAGCTCAACACGGTGTTATGTCTGTTTGTCCACTTATATTTGAGTCACTGAAAATGGGGGACAGCATTACATTTAACGATGAAAATCTGCACTTCAGTCTCATTTGTGGTCATCTGTGGTGATGTGAATAGACAAAAATTATAAAATTGTGTCAGTGTCAAAGAATTTATGGACTATGATAAACTTTAGAATATGTTGTTCTTTTTTGTGTTTTGTTTGCCCAGCACAGAGGGAGAAAATACTGTTGATGAGGTGTATACAGATTTCTACACCAGCAGCCACCTCAGTGGAGTGGAGTGGTGTTAGGTTATAATGATTTTTAGTATTATTGTGCTTTTTGGCTGTAACCAGGTTCACAGGGCTCTCTTGACTTTGTCAGACCTCATACGTGCACAAGTGGAAATTAGCTGGGTGCCAAAAGTTCAGCAAGTAAACAACATCACAAAAAATACAGTAAATCAGACACATAATTTTATGTTATTTTTAATAAAATGGCTTTTTAAAAGTTATTTTCCCCAATTTTAATGCAGTAAACAAAACAAATACAATAAAAGAGATCAAGATCAAGGTTGTTAAAACACAGGGATCCTGATACTCCTGTTACTAACAGCAACATGTATACTGAGGATAAAACCTTTTATTTGAAGCTCGCTGTTGTTGGTCTCCTCTCGTTTAGCACACTGTGACAATGGGGAAGAATTCAAATAAGTTACAAAAATCAATTTTGCCATCTGGAAGTGCACCAAATGACAGCTTAGGGGAGATCATTGTAACAAATGTCTGTAACAGTGAAAGCTGACTGAGGTAATTTATTGTAAAGACAATATGACATCTTAACAACCCGCTCCGGCCCACCCCTCAGGTCCAGTGTCTGGTTTCAGAATGGGCGTGGTCCAGAGATGATGTCATCCTGCACACCTTGCCTCTCCACCACGTTCATGGCGTCGTTAACAAGCTGCTGTGCCCACTCTGGGTGGGCGCCACCTGTGTCATGCTTCCCGAATTCCATCCTCAGAAGGTCAGAGATGCACTCTTCTTCTTCTTCTGTCTCTCGGCACAGTACACAGTATCTTTTATTATCCCCCGTGAACAAAAGTGGCTTTTTTTAGGGTTCCATCTAACTTAATCATAAGGCAAAGACAGTTTTCAGATTGAGAGGTCTTCTGCAGACAACCCTGATGGATTAAAAAAGACCATTACCTCTTTCCACATGAATCCCTCTTTCTCAGTTGGTGCTTCCCTTTCCCTTTGCTCTTTTGTTCTTGCTCCTCTCTTCTCGCTTCATCTACCCTCCGTCTGCATCTCCCTCTCTTTCCCCCTCTCACACTGTCAAAACTAAGTGTTTGGGGCTCAGTGATGAATTGCCCTGTGTGGCTTTGTATCTGACCAATGCCGACACACGGCAGGGGCTTAAGCAGCAGATCAATCGATGAGCTGACATTGAAGGATGATAGTGCTTGTTTGGCCCTGAGAAGGGAGGGGAAGATGGGGTGCTAAGTGTGTGTATATAAGTGTAGCTGTATTGAAGTGTAAATGCACAATTTTTAATGTATGTGTGTGTGTGTGCCTTTCTGTTTTTTGCTCTCTTTGTTTGTACGTCAGGAAGTCTACCACTTCATGACACTTAAGGTGAATGAAAAAGAAACGACCTTAAAGAAAATGTGTATCTGTCAACATGGGTATTGCTAGACTAATATAGCTATCAGTATTCAACTGTTATCCCTGACCTTGTGTGCCAAACCACAAAACCCCTTCTCTCATCTTCAGAGAAAAAAGAGAGCCTTTATTCTCCTCCTCCTGAAGTTACAGTACATTGATGAAGTGATCGATCGTCTTCTATCCCCTAAGATCTCTGAAGGGTACCCTAGGCAGCAGAGGCCAGCATTGATTTCTTTTCTTCTGATTTTGCCTGGAGATAGTGTTGGGAATTTTCAGTGCAGGAATTGTGATCAAGTAAATCACAGATAAGTCTTTTTCAAGTATACTGTATTAGACTGACGGGAGCAGATAGCGTTCCTGGGTTTCAAACAGCATTGCTCGGATTTTTTTTTTTCTTTTTTTAAATTTATTTGATTTCTTATTGACTGCTTCATCACAGCAACTACTCAAATGTAATATTACTGTCATTGTTTTTCCTCAAGAGGGATGGCTAAGGCATCAATTTTTAAATTCTAACAGGCAAGGGCATTTTTTTAAGTAGCCTGATTGATGGGAATGCTGCTTGGAAATACTCACAACTGCCTGTTCTGTAATTCAAAGTGAAATTGACTTTTTTGAAATAATGTTTCATGCACCAGTTGTCTAGTTCAGACAGATAAAGCATTTTGAAAGTGTTTGGCTGTAAAGAATCCATATGCCACTCTGTATAGCAGGTTGCTCTCTGTTACAGTCAGCCTTCTCTAGGAAGAGTCAACTATTAGGATAAGTCTTATATAAGAACTGATACTACTTATCAATGTCAATAGCAGGAACTTTTATTATCTGCTAATTCAGACACACTGGCAACCTGAACACTGATGTTTTTCACCTCTGCTTCACATGAAGCATTTACGACACCGATAATGTGACACTGCTGTCAAGGACTGTGGTAATCTGCCTACAGCTGAAGCTATTATCCACGAGGAATATAAAAAAGCTGTCTGTTTGTAGGAACCTGCAAACACTAATTAAAAACTTAGCTAACTACATAGCTGATACTACTATGTTAATGACTTGGCTATTAAAACAAGGTCTGCTCCACTGTAAGGTCAGTGAAATGCTCGAACATTAAAATACGATGCAGTTGCTTCTCTAAGATCACTGCTGATGTCTTCCCACCTTGGCATTGTGTTAACACACACCTGAATGCTCCAGACCAGCAAGCTACCAAAATGTCTGCTTAATCAAGTGCATTTGATTAGCAGCATCTGGCTGCTACTTATGCTCTTAATTCCTGTGGTTTTGTAAGGCTGGGCTTAGTTTTTCGCACACTGATTCTGCTGTTTGGTTTTGTTTTGTTTTTTTTAAATGAAACAGTTGAAGATCATATATTGTTGCTCATCTGAGGTGAGTTTAGCCCCACTAAGGACCAGATTATTTAAAAAATTTTCCCAGTACGTGAAACTTTAAAACTGAAAGACATGTTCTTTACTGAGACAGACGAGCTGAGTGAACTTACCTGACAGTTTTTAGGAATCAGCACTGCTGGCACGTTGACATTCAACAATCGGGCCTTCTCGGGAAGAACTGTTTTCGGGTCTTACGTTGAGTGCAGGGCACATGAAGTTGTTTAGGATGCAGGCCATAGCTCTCGGTTCTCACCACATCCTGTCCCCTAGGTGGAGGCCAGCTCTTTGACGGACATAAATTGCCTTCCTCTCCCGCCTAGAGTGGGCTTGGTGGGAGCGCTTCACTGCACTTGATAGACACCACCCAGTATGGTCAGGGCACGCTCAGCTAATCATCCTTTTCTCTCTTCAAACTTTTATTCTGTATCTCTTTGCGTGAACCGCAGGTTGCTTGCAATTTTTAGATCGGCCTGTAACGTTATTCTGGGAGACTGGATTGGGATTTGATTAAATTGTACTGTTGACATATCTTAATCATCTTAGCTGTATTTGTCTGTGTGTTTGACTTGTGTTTTTATTAGAGGCAGAGGAAGTGATTGGAAGATAGTTTAGTAGATAATAGATTGGGTGAGTCTGTGATGTGAGGGTCACACAAAAGAGAAGTGGAAGGAAGAGTTTAGAAATTGCTGGCACATTAAGAAGGATGTGGTGTTACTCCAGGTGAGCGCAATGATGGGAGAGAGTGCATTTTTCTGTGTGTGAGTATGTGTCTAGGTGTGTATGTGTCTGAGAGAGAGAGAGACTGCAGAGGCAGTGAAGCAGGAAATTACGAAATGGAGAGAGAAGGTAAGTGAATGTGAGATAGGGGGGTGAGAGACGAGGAGGGGGGGGAGAGATGAAGGGAGGATGTGGGGTCAGAGATGAAAGTAGAGTGAAAACGGAGCACTTGGAAAATAGAGGCAGAATGAATGAAGAAGAAGTGAGATCGAGTAGCCTGAGAGGAGAGACAGCTTGGAGGGGGGCACTGGTGGTGGGCGGTGGTGCGGGGGGAGTGACTTAGAGAAGCCGTCGTTCACCTTCATTTAATTCATGCTGTCGTCCTATCCTTCTGCCGTCGACTGCAATGTGTGAGCGTGTGTGAGGAATGAGGTTGAGTGGGTGGGGCCGGGTGTGTAAAATGACTTTGTCCTTGAACAAGTGAGTTTATGTGATTTTCATACAGTATGTTTAGATGTGCATGTAGTTGGCGACACATGTTTGCGTCCATTAGTGCCCGCCTGTGTTGAAGGCGGCACGTCTGACACAGCTGAGGATGGGAGCGGCTCCTTTTGTGGCAGTCAAAAAGCACATTTGTCAAAAGTAGCTGCACACGAGGTCTTTTAACTGGCCGGCAATACCGCTCCAGTCCGGGGCAGCCGGCTATTTTCTTCCTCCTGACCTTTACAAATCTGGGCATTTTTTGCTTGTCTTTTTTCTGCATTATGTTGACAGGTTTAATATGAGGCTGCTGTCTGGACTTTATTCTGCCATTTACATCAAATAAATGAAAAAATTTCACTTTTTTTTCCCTCTAAAACTAATGGAATGAATCTGGATTTAATAATTTAGTCTGCAATGCCCCACTGTTAGATATACTGCTTTTATTTTCCTTATCTCTCCTCCTCCTTCCTTCTTCAGTTATGTGTTGTGCTTATCTCTCTCCCTCTCTCCCCCCACAGGTGTGGGAGATGCTGTTGAGCTCCAAGGCTCCCATGGTTAATGTGTTCATGGCTGTGCCAACTATTTACTCTAAGCTGATCCAGTACTATGATCAGCACTTCACACAGCCTCATGTGAAGGACTTTGTCAAAGCAGTCTGCAAAGAGAGAATAAGGTACTGGTTGTGCAATCTGTGCCACAAGATTTTACTCACAAGTAGCTGTATTTGTGAATACTTCCATGTATGTATGAGTACATATTGATTGGTGGCAAAATGGTTAAGAACAGAGCAAATATAATGTAGCACTGAATGGTTTAATGCATGGTTTTTATGCAGTGTTTCCTAAATGTCCTTTTCACAGGGATGTATAGAGCTTAATTAAAGTTAATATTAATGCATTTTGTCATCAGTTGGGAGATTATCATCTTTTTTAATCACCCAATAGTTGGATGCTTTAGGCAATTTAAAGAGGAAATTTAATGTTGCTATGGAGTTCGTTCATTTTGGGCTCTTCATCATTCCTGTTAGTATTTATGTATGTGCAGACAGCCGTGTCCAGATGACTTTGATGGAGAGTATTTTTGGTGAAAACTCCTTCAACTTGAAGTTGACTTTACCTGACAGAGCAGGATATGACAGCACAAACGTTTGGCTGTAAGCCAGTCCCTGGGCTCCAAACATCTGTATGTTAGTAGCTCAGCTAACTGACAGATGCATTAGTGATTAGCAATTGGGCCCATTGACCATCACCCTATCCTGGCAGTGTTTTCGGTTCACATTCAAAGAAGAGAAAAAAGCAAAATTGGAAAATAAAGTTCATTTGTGAGACAAATTGAAGTTTTACAGTGCTTCAACTACCTCAGCAATTCTGTGTAACAATGACTGATGCAGCTGCAGCTGTTGACCGCGGAGGTGTCTAAACCAAATCTATGCATCAAACCACAGTTAACAATTTCGGCTGCTTTTGGAGCAACAGCAGGTACCTGTCCGACTCACCCCTCTTGCCATTTTTGCTCCTTTTACTGAGCTGAAAACCACATGAAGGTGTGGTTGACGTGTGTGTCAGACTGTGCACCTCCCCAGAAGTGTTGAAGTGTTCAAACCTGAAGCAAAGTCAGTCCCAAGAAGCATTAGGCCTGTTTTTAAAAGTTTATTTTGGCCCTGAGACACTTGTAGTTCTTTTCATTTGTAATTTATTTGTCACCTTTCTGTGTGTATGCACTCGTGGCATGCATTATTATTACATTATTATGTTTTCTTGCTACTTGATAATCTTTTGACCTTTGTGGATGGTGTATTAATGTCACACCACATTTCCAGTACATGTTTTGCTTCTTAATAATTTTCACTGCCACAGTTTCTTTTACAAGAGTGTGCGGCATCTGTGTTTTTACTTTGCTTCCTTTGTGCTGCCAATCATCTCTCCCATGCTGCACTCTGTATATTTTCCATAAACAGTCTGCAGTTTATAGAATACTGTGAGGCACAACCCTATGCTTACTGACTCTCACAAATCAGGTCCTTGGAGATGTGTAAGAAGATGCACAAAAATTGATGTTTCTAATTAGCAAACAATTAGCCATTTACATGTTTCACACAGGTTTTTCAGGCAAAATATAAACTGCAGATGTGTTTTTTGGCGTGTGTCCCTCATGCCCGTCCCTTTCTCTCCAGGCTGATGGTTTCAGGCTCGGCTGCTCTCCCGCTTCCCACTCTGCAGCGCTGGGAGGAGATTACCGGGCACACACTCCTCGAACGCTACGGCATGACTGAGATCGGCATGGCGCTGTCCAACCCTCTCAAGGGCCCACGCGTCCCAGGTTGAACTAAGTGGATGCACTTGTACTCTCACACCTTACACACATATGAGTAAAGAAAGAATATGTTTTTACATGTGTATGTGTGTTACTTATCTTAAAAAGGGAAGTCATGGGATCATTAGTTAACTTTCCGGCAAAGTATTTCACAAACAAGTCAGCAACTCGCTGCACGTTGCTTAACTTTGCACCACTATCTTCTTATCTGCCACGTGTCACTTTTTCAGAGTTTTGTAAACAATGGTTGGAGCCACTCAGCTAGATAAACTTGCATTGCACAATTTTAGCTTCATCCAAAAATCTGTATTCTGAATTATCTTCTAAAAAATTATCTAGAATGTCAAAGTCAGTACCGGATACATGTATAGTTTGGGTGCCAGCTGCATATGTTTTTTTTTCTCAAAGTCCTTTATCCCTTTGCATAATGATAAAGTTGTGAAACCTCAGGTGTCAAAATACTAACTTGATAATAAAATGCAGGTCTTGGTGCTCTTCCAAGCAGAATATGGTCAGATTACAAACCAGCTGCTGAAGCAATGGCAGGAAATGAGGCCATACAGATAACCTCTTAAAGATCGGTTTGGCATCTGATTATCAGCATTTTTCTCAGGCTTGAAAACCCTTAATGACAAACCAATGGCAGCGTTTTCTGCTCTCTTTTTAAATCAGGCCTAACCTCCACCAAAATTTGGTGCATTTATCTTTTGGTGCCAAATACTGAGATACTGTACAGCATAACTAGCCAAGCATACTGCCATCAGTGTGTCTGTCAGTCACAGTTTCATTGATGATGAATATTTGATTGGTTGGCAGTCAACCAAGGTTGCCTTTGTGGCTGTGGATGTTGTTCTCTTCTAAAACTAATGTCTGAGATTTGTAGGAAGGAGGGTAAATTATCTTTTTTTCCCTGTGTGTAGTAATTAAGCTCTACATTGAGTTGACATTGCTGTTTACAATTTGGTAACGTATGATTATCAATCAACAAACTTGCAATCACTCATTTCTGCCACTCTATGTTAAAATTATACACATATATATTAGAAATCTGTATCCTGGAAACATAGAAAGGCAGTGTGGTTTAACAGAACGACATAAAATAACAATAATTTAAAAAGCAAACCTTGCTTAATTGAGCCAGTGTTCCTGGTTTATACTACACTTTGAAAATGCTCTCAAAAATTGTGTTCTTCTTCACATATAATCCAAAAACCTCTGATGTTGCTCGACCCTCCCTCATCAGTTTGAGTGAGTACTTCAACTTCACGCGTTGTGCTTTAATCAAAGGTAGTTGTCTCTGGCGTGATGTCAGGTAAAACCCCATGATCCCAACTACACCTCCCTCACACACGCAAAAACAAAAGCAAGGTCTGGAAATGAGGTCAGAGTAGTGGCGGTTGCCATCTTCTCCTGTCATCCCCTCTTCCTCTGTCTCTCTCTCTCTCTTTCCCTCTCTTTCTCTTCCACCGTCTTCTTCCTTTCCTGTTCCCCAGACAACACTTCCTCTTACAGGTAGAGCTAATTAGCTTGCAAGTGGATTTGGTAATCCTCTGCCTGCCTGTTTTGTCAGGGTATTGTTTTGTTTGTTGCTCACTGAATGTTTGGCATGAACCGAGCAGGCTGCGTTCGACTCCTCTCAGGTGATTATTAAGAATGGCTTCAAGAGGTCTGTGTTTTTATTGATGTTTCCTCTCAGCATTTGTGTAAGTGTATGTGTATGTCTGCCTGTATGTGTGTATGACGGTGTGAGCACATGTAGGCACGAGGCTGCGCCTGTTTGAGTCGGCGTGTTCCTATCTTGCCTTTTAAGTAGGTTAAAATGGATCAATAGCAACCACAGGAAACACTCTCAGAAGAGCAGTGGAGTGGTATCTCTCTTTCACTCTCACCTTCTTCTCTTTCTCCCCCCGCCCCACAGCAGCTAAACAGATGACATTTCAGCTCTTAATACAACTTATTGACAGCAGTTTCATTAGTAATTCTCTCCTGTATTTAGGCCATGTAACTATCCTGATTTTGCTGTGGTGCTTACACTTTGGGAGCTCTTCATATTAACAAAGCTGAGTGTCTTTCTAGGTCATATTGCCCTTCCTGAGATGTAAACATATGAGATTAGTTCATCCTCATTTTTTTTTCCATCTTATTATTATCTCACGCTGCTGCCCCTTTCATCTCTTTGATTCTTTTTTGTCCCACTTTTCAGGCTTTTTTCCCTGTATTTTCACAGAGAAAGTGTAGATACAGCAGTCTTATAAAAGCAGTTGTTCATAGCTTTTTCCCCACCTTAAAAAGCCAAAACAAAAGCTCTCACATGCCAGCCTTTTTTATCAATCAAAAGGATCCATTTTCAGTTTTAGTGAATTAAGGGTAATCGTGCTAGCATCTGAAAACTGTTATTTTAATAAACTATTCCCAATGACCATAAATCGGATAAGTAGTTAGA